AGAAGGGGAACTGGAAAGAGGAGGCTGAGCTGAGCCTCACACACCCGGCAAGGGAGAGCGGGACTGTGGGTCTCGGTGGGAGCTGCGGCTGTGGGTGTGGAGCCCTCGCACATGGTCCCCTCCCGCCCCCAGACCGCCTGCGGAAGGAGGAGAAGGGCCGCCAGGAGCTGGAGAAGCTGAAGCGGCGGCTGGACGGCGAGAGCTCGGAGCTGCAGGAGCAGATGGTGGAGCAGCAGCAGCGGGTGGAGGAGCTGCGGGCCCAGCTGGGCCGCAAGGAGGAGGAGCTGCAGGCCGCCTTGGCCAGGTGCCCTGGGGAAGGGGGAGGAGCGCTTGGCGGGGCGCCAGGCACACAGCACAGCCTGGCGGTGAGATCCTGCCGGTGCAGAGCCCAGCGGAGAACCACGCACAGCCCTGCACACGCCACCCCCTCTGAGCCTCAGAGTCCCCTTGTGTGAAACGGCCCCGGGGGGGTTCCAGCCCCGCCTGCTTAAGGGAAGAGTGAACCGAGGCCCTTGGTGTCTAGTAACTTGCATGGTTCCGGGTCAGAATAGAGGCAAGAAAATGCGGTTTCTCCTCCCCCTACTCCCCTCCCAACCCCGAGCAGCCCAGAGTCAGTGACTCGAAAAGCGGTCTGACCATCTGAGGAATCATAATCATTACGACCGCCATTCACGATTATTGAGCGCCTACTGGGTGCCGGATAGGGCAGTGGGTTTTTCAGATGCTTTTGACCCACTGTGCTTCATGCAAACTGAGCCGCCTTGATTATAGGAAAGATGTGCTTCTTAGAATCGCTGGTACACGGTGTGTGTGTGTGTGTGTGTGTGTGTGTGTGGTTAAGAACACACAACTGGAGTCTGACTTCTGGGTTCCATTCCTGGCCATGTGACCTCACCCAAGTGACATTACCTCTGTGGCCTCAGTTTCTTCATCTGTAAAATGGGGGTTAGTGTAGAATTAAATAAGAAGGTGCTCATCAAACGCTTGGCACACCCTGGGCCCTCGGTGAATGCTGGTGTGTCTGTTAACCACTTTTCATTATTTTATTCCGATGGTCTTGTTATTTTCTCCTTTTTAAAAATATATTTTTATTGATTTCAGAGAGGAAGGGAGAGGGAGAGAGAAAAGCACCAATGATGAGAGAGAATCATTGATCAGCTGCCTCCTGCACGCCCCCCACTGGGGATCAAGCCCATAACCCGGGCATGTGCCCTTGACCAGAATCGAACCCGGGACCCTTCAGTTTGCAGGCCGACGCTCTATCCATTGAGCCAAACCGGCTAGGGCTCCAGAATGTTTTCATCACCCCCAAAAGGAGGCCCGGTGCCCCCTAAGCTGTCACTCCCATTCCCCCTCCCCCAGCCCCTGGCACCACCAACCCACTTTCTATCCACATAGGACTTTCCTATTCTTTTTTTTTCAAACGTGTTTTTTTATTGATTTTGAGAGAGAGAAAGGGAGAGGGAGAGAGAGACAGAGAGGGAGAAACATTCATGTGAGAGAGAAACATTGATCAGTTGCCTCCAGCACACACCCTGACCAGGGACGGAACCCGAGACCCAGGCATGTGCCCTGACCCAGAATCGAATTGAGCCAACCCCCATTCAGTGCACAGGACGATGCCCAATCCACTGAGCCACACCGGCCAGGCAGACTTTCCTGTTCTTGACAACAGGGATCATACAGCAGGTCGCCTTTGCACTCCCGTTGTTTTTGTCGCCATTCCCCACAGCAACCCTGGGAGGTGGCTGTTCACATCCTCTCACAGGCCAGGGCCTGCCGTTCAGAGAGGCTGTCACTTGCCAGGCAGATGGTGGCCCGGCAGGGGATGCAAACCCATCTGCACAGCCCCGGTGTGCGCTGGCCCTCCACTCAGTTCTCTCTGCAAGAGGCTGTGTCCCTTAGGGCTCATGAGGTGGGTCTGTGCGGTCAGCTCTGCCACTCACTGACCGTGTGACCGTGGCAAGGGCTTTCCCTTCCCTGTGCCTCAGTTTCCTCATTTGTCATAAGCACTGAATGAGACCATGGAGTAAAGGGCTTGCGTGTGGTAGGAGCTTCATAAATGTCCCTGGGATTACTATCAGCGTCGTTCCCATTTTATAGCTAGGTAAACTGAGGCTGAGTACTGGAGGCACATGCTCAGGGGCAGAGCTGAATTTGAACCCAAGACGGGTCACCCCAAAGTCCTCATCTGGCCTCTTCGCCCCGAGAAGTCATCCTGCCCCCTGCCTGCTCCTGTGGCTAACTCCTGGGTCCTCGTCTGCCCCCAGGGCGGAGGAGGAGGGCGGGGCCCGCGCCCTGCTGCTCAAATCCCTGCGGGAGGCGCAAGCGGGACTGTCCGAGGCCCAGGAAGACCTGGAGGCAGAGCCCTGGGCCCGGAAAAAAAAGGGCGAGCTGGAGGACACGCTGGACTCCACCAATGCCCAGCAGGAGCTCCGGTGAGGCGGGCTGCCCGCGGCCACCACAGCCTGGGCACGTGCGGGGCGGGGGAGGGGAGAAGGACTCGGTGAGAATTCTCCATCTACACAGAGATTTAGTAATTCAGCAATTGGTTATTGAGTACCGGCTCTGGCCAACCTGGGGTTAGAGATGAGTCACACCCAGGCATTGCCCCCAGGAACTTCCAGTCTTGGGGGAGGCAGATTTGGGCACAGAACAGACCCAATCCAGGACAAAGCGTGCTTTAATGGAGTAGCGTTGCATGATAAGCGAAGGCCCCTAAGGCACATCTGTGGGAGGGAGTTCAGGAAGACTTCCCTGAGAAGGGGCCTTTTGAACAGGGTTTTGAAGGATGACTAGGAGTTCACCCTTAAAGCCACATGCCTTGCACAGCATCAATGCCTAGATTCTTTAAGGAATGTAGAGTGAGGTCCCCATCCTTGGAGAGAAAGAATAAAAACAAGCACAACTAGCTGTCAGGGGCTCCCCCAAAGTCCTTGCCTTCCTCTGTTCTGAAATTCTATCCCCTCCCCCGCCCCAAAGGTCCAAGAGGGAACAAGAGGTGACGGAGTTGAAGAAGGCTCTGGAGGAGGAGACACGCATTCACGAGATAGCGGTGCAAGAGCTGAGGCAGCGCCACGGCCAGGCGCTGGGAGAGCTGGCGGAACAGCTGGAGCAGGCCCGGAGGGTGAGTTAGGGCAGGAGTGGGGGGTTGAGGGGGGAGCGGGGAGGGCAGTTCTGGGGGCCATGGGGAAGGAGGGCAGGATGCTGGGTTGGAGCAGGTACCGCTGGCTGGCTCTAGGCCGGCCCATCTGTCTGGGGTTCTTTCCTTACGTATTCATGTCCTCGCTTCCCCTTCATTCAGCATTAACTGAGCGCACACTGTGTTCCAGGGATGGTACTAGGCACCCAGCGGTGAACAAAACAACCAACGCTCTCTCCCCTGTGGGGTGCGCGTTCTGGCAGGAGCAGCAGAGAGCAGACAATATAAACATTCATAATAGCTGTTGGGGTACTAAGTGCTGTGGGAAAATGAGGGCCCGGAAGAGGGATCAGGTGCGAGGTGGGCGGTTTGTGATTTTTCTTTTTTTCTTTTTTTAATACATTTTTATTGATTTCAGAGAGGAAGGGAGAGGGAGAGAAAGATAGAAACATCAATGATGAGAGAGAATCATGGATCAACTGCCTCCTGCAAGTCCCACACTGGGGATCGAGCCCACAATCTGGGCATGTGCCCTGACCAGGAATCGAATCATGACCTTCTTGTTCATAGGTCAATGCTCAACCACTGAGCCATGCCAGCTGCACTCATCATTGATGTTTCCATCTCTCTCTCTCCTTTTCCCTTCCTCTCAGAAATCAATAAAAATATTTTTTTAAAGATAAGTAATAAAAATGTGCTACTTTTAAGTTTAAACATATTACTAAAATTCAACTGTAACCACAGCAATTGTTTAGAACTTAGTCTTAGACTAATAATTTTTTTCAAGAAGAAATATTTTATTACAAACTTAAAAATTGCCAGATTATAGGAATAATAAAAAGCAAACTGATTGTTCGTCAATTTTATTATTGTTTTTAAATTATTTGCAGACAGTAAGACTCATTTCCTGAAGGTGGACTGCCCCACCTTCAGTATACCACCGATGCTTGTAAATGTTTGTTAATGGAATTCTAGTTCTGCTTTAAATGGGTGTTACATTTAGCATGGGGGATGTGTAGTGCTGATTTATACTACAAATAGTTTCCTTTTTATCATTGATAATGCCCACTGAATGTCCTCTGAAATGTAGCTTTCATTATCTCTGAACTGTGAGCTTGAAGTGATTACCTGCTTTTTGAGCCCAGGTGAGCCGGGCCGCGGTGGTCTCTGCTCTGTGACCTTGAGTGAGACCGCCTCTCTCTGGGCTTCTGTTTGGTCCACGTCGGCCCTGTTGTCTGTCCCTTCCAACTTTTCCAACATCATCACGCATGCGTGGCTAGTATTTGGAGAGAGGTTACTACGCACCAAACATCCTGTGTATTTCACGGCATCCTCCCGACTCCTCTTTGGTGGCAGTGCTAATCCTGTTCCCACTTTACATACGAGGAAACAGGCCCAGGGAGGTGAGGTTGATTGTCTAAAGTCATTCAGAGCTAGAACTCGAACCCAGGCCTGCCTGACCCTGTAGCTCTTAACCCTGCCACAGCCCAGCCTCCACTCTTCTCTTTGGGCCTTAAATGATCCGTGGTCTGATTAGAAGAGGCCACAGTGAATGCCTGGAACTGTGTGAGGACAATATCCGTGTAACTACGAGGCAAGCAGTGGATTCTGGGCTTTTTAACTAAATGACCAATACTGTACCTGTTCATTATTGAGGACACAAACAGCAAAAAGAACAGAGGGAAGACTGACCTTAATTCCCCAACCCCGCCCCCCTAGGGGAAAACACCCCACCGTTACACTTCTTAATTTCCAGGTGAAAAGTATGTATTCATTAGAGTAAAGGTTAGGCTGCTATAACAAAGAGACCCCAGAAATCATCAGCTTGAATAAAATACACGTCTTTCCCTCTCAAGAAACAGGCTCAAACCGTAGCTGGTTTAGCTTAGTGGATAGAGTGTCGGCCTGCGGACTGAAAGGTCCCAGATTTGATTCCTGTCAAGGGCACATGCCCGGGTTGTGGGCTCGATCCCCAGTGGGGGGCGTGCAGGAGGCAGCCAATCAATGATTCTCTCTCATCATTGATGTTTCTATCTCTCCCTCTTTCTTCCTCTCGAAATCAATACAAATATTTTTAAAAGAAAAAGAAAAAGAGTCAAGGTAAGCATTTGAGGCTGGTGGGACCCTAGGCTCCAGGAGGTCACGCAAGAGCCCGGTCTTGTCCCCGAAGCGTTGACCTCGTCTTCAGAGTGGAATCTGTGTTGTGGGCACATCTGTGCTCCAGCTTAGGAAGGGACAGAATTTGCATACATCACTTGCTTGAATTTCATTGGCCATACCATAATCACATGACCACAGCTCACTGCAAGGGAGGCTGGGAAATGTAGTTTCTAGCTGACAGTCATGGGCCTGGTTAATAGCCGGTCACAGTGGGACCAAGGGAGAATGGATCTGGGGGGACCACGAGGGTCTATCCCAAATGAAACCTTGCTATGCAGCCACCACTGTGCCAAGCACTGGGCATATTGCAAGAGTAAAAGTGGCACCAAGAGTCCAGTTTGGTGGCTGAGAGCACAAGTTCTATCCGGAAGTTTCTTCAGTGTTGGGGATTTTCTGTATTTGTGCTATCCCCTTGGCTAGTGAGCCCTTGAAATGTGGCCAAGTATAAGCGAGGAGCTGGAGTTTTGCTTTTACTTCATTTTAGTGTAAATGGCTGCATCTGGCTGGTGGCTGCCATCTCGGACAGCTCAGCTCCAGAGCCATTCTGCCTGGGCTCAAATCTCAGTTCCCCCAGCTGTAGCTGTGTGCTCCCAGGCACCTTTCCTGACCTCTCTGTGCCTCAGCTTTCCTTTATGTAAACTGGGAATAGTAGTGGCATCTGCCTCTGAGGGTTGGTGTGTGAATCCAGTGAGCCAAAAATTATAAAGCCCTTAGAATAGTTCCTGGGCACATTCTGTTTATCCACTCACCAGCTGATGAATATTTGAGTTGTTTCTACCTTTCTCTATGGTGCTATGAACGTCCCTGTACATGTGTTTGCTTGGACATATGTTTTCATTTCTCTTGGGTCCACACCTCGGAGCGGAATTGCTAGGCAATAGGGAAACTCTGTGTTTCACCGTTTGAGGAACTGCCAGACTGTTTTCCACAGTGGCTGTGCCATTCACATTCCCACCAGCCACCAGCCGTGTGGTAGGGATTGGAGGTGGAGGAGCCGCTGGGGTCGGCTGGGTGGAAGCCGCCATTGGAAGGTGCCCCTTTCCCACAGGCTGAACTCGAGAACGTGTCTGGGGCACTGAGTGAGGCCGAGTCCAGAGCCATCAGGCTGAGCAAGGAGCTGAGCAGCACAGAGGCCCAGCTGCACGATGCCCAGGTGACCTCTCCCCCCGCCCCCGCCCCTGTACCCAGCCCCTCCCACCTTTCTGCCCACACCTGACCTCCATTCTCCCCCCGCCCCCATCTACAGGAGCTACTGCAGGAGGAGACCAGGGCAAAGCTGGCCTTGGGGTCCCGGGTGCGAGCCTTGGAGGCTGACGTGGCCGGGCTACGGGAGCAGCTGGAGGAGGAGGCGACGGCCAGGGAGCGGGCCGGCCGTGAGCTGCAGACCGCCCAGGTCCAGGTGAGAAGTCCTGGGGGGAGGCCAGGGGAAAATTAGTCCCCCAACCTGCTCCTGCTGGTTCCCTGGCTCAGAGACGGCCCCGTTATCTGACCAGTCAGAGCCCAGACTTCTGGGTGCCAGTCCCGCCTCTGACTGTCACTCAGCCCCATGACCCGTCGGTGCAGAGCCCTGACTTTCTGTCTTATCGCCCACTTTCCGTCTACACCGCCCCAGCCCTGCTGAGGCCTCGTCCTCTGCCCCCAGATCCTCCTCTCAGCCTCCCTTCACGCCCCCCTGCATCCAGTCTCTCCTCTCTCTTCTGGCTCATTCTCCCCACGGTCTTCCTGCCCTCCCCTTGCTCACAGCCCGGCCATGGCTCCCGGCTCCCCTGGACGAAGCGCATGCCTCTCAGCCGGGTGTCCGAGGCCCTGCGTTCTCTGGTCCTCCCCTTTGTCTTTGGCTGCATTCCTCTCTCCTCTCCTTCCCCACTTCACTTGGGAAACCCGTTTCATTCTTCAGGACTCAGCGTCAGCGCCCCCTATCGTGGGAAGGCCCTGGCCACCCTCCTCTGAGCTCCTACAACCCTTCTTTCTCCCCGTTCCCACGCCAGTCACCCTGGGCTGGAACACTGAGTCCCTAAGTCCATGAGTCCCTCCACCACCAACTGGGGAGCTCCTTTAAAGGGGGACCCTGAGTTAGATCTGGTCCCCAACGTGGGCCAACAGAGAGCCTGGTTTATGGGAGGCCTTGAGCAATGCCTGCTGAGTGAATGAGCATGGAATGCATGCCTGCAAACGTCCTCCTTCAACTGGCAAACTCCTGTGTATACTCTAAGATCCATTGCAAATGCCCCCTCCTCCAGGAAGTCTCCCTTAAATGTTCTAAACAGATGCTGAGCCCCTCCTGAGGACTCCCCTGGCTCCCATACCTGAGCCTCCATCACCCTGGCTGTGACACTCAGTTCTCTCCATCAGACTGGGGGTTCCCCAGGGCAGAGCCTGGGTCTGACTCACCATCTTGGTCCCAGAGGGAATAGTTTTAATCTCCTGGGAAAGCTGAGGGTCGTAGAACTCACAGCCTCAACCCTCCTCCAGTGCAGTGAGCCATTTCCCTCTTCAGGCCTCAGTCTCCTCATCTGGGAAATGGGGCGCTACCAGCTCACACCTCGGTCACAGCCATGACTGC